GTATGCTTTTGCTACTTCTCCTTACCCAGTTATCATAACATTAGAAGACCACCTTACACCGGAATTGCAGGCTAAAGTTGCTGAGGTTAGTCATCACTTGTTTTTGCTTTCAATTTTTCTCTTTGATGTTGTTTTTTTCTATATAATGACCTCAAATATTTTCTCATGTAGATGGTCATTCAAACATTTGGAACTATGCTGTACTACCCTGAGTCAGATTGCTTAAGTGAGTTCCCTTCACCAGAATCATTGAAACATCGAATAATTATTTCAACCAAGCCACCAAAAGAATATCTAGAGTCTAGGTCCAAAGACAATTCGTCACCAGGTGGAATGGAATTTTCTGAAGAGGAATCATCCTCAAAGGAGATGCAAGACAACAAACCTGAGTCAGAAGCTGATGATAGGGTAAGACAGCAATTAATTTTGTCGTAGCTTGACTTCCAAGTTAGCTAAGATGAGAAAACTTTGCTCATGGGTAGCAGAGTGATAGTGATCATGGTGATGAAGACTTCAACGAATGTACTCGCAAATCAGGCCAAACTGGGGCGTCTGCATACAAGCGCCTAATTACCATTCATGCTGGGAAGCCAAAGGGTGCCTTAAAGGATGCATTAAAAGTTGCGGCTAATAAGGTTAGACGTCTTAGTATGAGTGAACAAGAACTTGAAAAGGCAGCAGCATCTCACGGATCTGATGTTGTGAGGTACCTGTCAAATGCTCAAAGAAGTTTTTCCTTTCTTATCCTCTACATTCTTCTGTGCATGACCAATACCGATTCATGCTAACTTTTCAGGTTTACTCAGAAGAATATCCTGAGAATCTATCCAAAGGGTACACGTTTTACTTCCTCAAATTACAAGCCAACTATTGGATGGATGCATGGAGCTCAGATGATTGCATTTAACATGCAGGTTAACCCCAGCATTGCAGTTTTAGACTGTATTTTAATCAAAGAAACACTCTTCTTAAGCAGATAGTTGGGTGTATTTGGACTATCACAGTGTTATCAACTGTAAAACTTTCTACTAATAACATTTGAATGTCCTTTATCAGGGATATGGAAAATCACTCTGGTTGATGCACGGCATGTTTAGGGCCAATGGAGGGTGTGGTTATGTGAGAAAACCTGATTTTCTGATGCAGAAAGGATCACATGATGTGGTGTTTGATCCAAAAATAACACTGCCAGTGCAGAAAAAGTTAAAGGTGAGCATATTAGTTTGGCTCAAACTTAAATAGGTCTGCATTATGACTTTTTCTTAGAGCACTTTTGCTACTTACAGGTGAAAATATACATGGGGGATGGATGGCGGTTGGACTTTAGCCACACACACTTCGACACATACTCTCCTCCGGACTTCTACACAAAGGTTTGAAAAAAATTCTGGCTATCTGACTAACTTGAAACTGGTTGATCCTATTTCACTAGTTACTATAACAGTAGCAATATTGCTGTATATGCTTCTCATTGCAATATATGGGAAATTCCCATTTAGATGGAGCTTCTTTATACAAGATCTGCTTTATTATGGTTTGTAAAAGCTACCATCCAACTGCTTCATTTAAGTGATCAAAATGAATAAACGAGGTTCTCTTAACCACTCATAAGCGTAAACTATTAGGAACAAAAGACTTGCATTAAATTTTGTGGTAATTTTACTAAGGAACTCGAAAGATAAGCCTGTGGCCCTGGATTTGTTGGTGAAAGTAATTGATTGAGATGTGGCTCCCTCATATTTATGATATATGATGATCATAGCCTATCTACCAACCAAATGGCAGGTTTACATTGTTGGGGTGCCTGCAGATGAAGCTAAAAGGAAAACTAGGATAATTGGAGATGATTGGTCTCCTGTTTGGGATGAAGAATTCACATTTCCCCTGACTGTACCTGACCTGGCTCTGCTTAGGATTGAAGTACGCGAGTATGACATGTCAGAGAAAGATGACTTTGGTGGCCAAACATGTTTGCCTGTCTCAGACCTGTGGCCTGGGATCCGGTCAGTTCCTCTGCATGACAAAAAGGGTAAGAAACTCGCAAATGTAAGGCTTCTGATGAAGTTTGAGTTTGAATAACTAGAGTGTAGAATCATCCATCCAGGATTCTAGGCGGTTTGCCCCTTTGCACCCCATGAGGTGTATGCAGGGATAAGTCATTGTAATTAGTTGAGAGAATTTCTGATATGCTAAAATGTCTAATGTTTGTTTTTTGCACTATTCTGAAGCAATGATAGGAAATTTTGCACGCCACTCTTTTACCCTGTAGCCCAGAATTGTTACTTACTATTTCTTCTGGAAGATTTGATTGATGATCACAGATGATCTTAAAGCTTTTACCATGTCTTTCTGGAGCATATGAAAATAATTCTGTTGGCTTTGGCTGGCAAATTGGTGTCATTGACAGACCATTGTCTTATACATAAGATCTCTTCCATCTCATTGTTTCTCTAACAAAATCCCAAGCTGTTTTTCGTCTTTCGAGAGGCAAATCTGCAGTGCAATTGAGGATTGTTCTTGTAATTATCCTCTGCAGTCTAATTACAAATTTGGGTTTCCAATGCAATGCCAAGATGGGGCTTAAGTGACTTCTACTGTTCTAAATTTGAGAGAAACAAATGAAAGTATGACAGATGTTATATGCTAGACATATCCTATCCAGAAAGTACTTCATATTTTCTAGTGAAATTGTACAAAAAAAGTTGAGAAACTTTGACTAATCCCTCCATCTTTTGAAAGATAAAACACATGGGGAAAAGAACCTACCGACAAAGAAGTTAATGTGGCAACTGTGAAGTGGTCCAACATAATCAATGCTAATTTAACTTCATTTTTTACAGCTTTTTCTCATATTTTAACCAGCAATCTGCAGTAATCTATCCCCCAATCTTCTCCAGGTAGTCCACTTCATGAAAAATCTAAATATTCTCTGACAAAAGAACAAGAAAGAAAGAACCAGATAAAGGGATATCAAATCAAATATACTAATAAAAAAACTTCTTTGCACTCTGGGAAACGCAAGAGGAAAAGTCAGCCAGCAATGACATAGCAGCAAAGGGGCATGGCTTCCCCCACCTCCCCATCAAAAGGACAAACAAAAGATATTTCTATGAACAAGACT